TGGAAGGAGGAGTGGCATCCACTTCCATAATAGCTTGCCTCCGGAAACCCTATGAACCTGGAGAGAGGATGAAAGGCACCCAAGCATCGAGGACTCTCCTTCATAGGGTCACTATGAGTCACCACTTAACAACAACAACCTTTTCAAGTACTCAATCAGCACAAAGATGCAAAAATCCTTTTCCTGCAGAAAATTAGAATAGCTCAGTGACTTGAATTAAATACTTTCAGGCTTTAAAGCTGCCACAACTAGGCTGAGCAAAATCATGTAATTTTCTGATAGACTTATATGTATTAGCATTATAAGCAGGGTCAAGAAAATGTTTTAAGGGTGATTAAGAAATAAGTTTTAATCTAGTGTTGCCACTAACTTCTGTAACTTCTAGAAAAAGTTATGCAATTTCTTCATGCCATGCCCAGTTTAATGAGAGGTTTAGACTGGTGATGTGATGGTTAAGCACTTGGCTGCCATCCAAACGGTTAGTAGTTCAAACCTGCCCAGTGGTTCTATGAGAGAAAGATCGGGTGATCTCTCACAAAGGTTACAGCCTAGAAAACCTTTCAGGGGCAGTCCTGCTTTCACAAAGGGGTGTCAGAATCGGCTCAAGGATACCTAGTGACAATAGACTGCTGCTTCCATTTTTAGATTTTACTTGCAAAGATTTGACTAGAACGTAGCTCTGGGGTTTTAACTCAGCCTAAACAGGTTCGGTCAGTGTCTATATAGCAAAATTAGAATAGACCCATATTTGTAAAATAGGAGTTTTTTAAATAATAACCAGGACAGGAAAATTACAGATCCAAATTGAAGCTCTAAAATGAGAGACTCAGAAGAGGCAAAGTGAGCCCCTTAACCAGGAGATTGTATTATGGCCAGAAGCCAGAGCGCCAAGGCTGGCCTCATCTTCAAGCTGGGCACTGCTATTTCCATCTCTGCTGGTCAAGAGATTCTTGGCTGCTATGTAGTGTGCATGCTGTCTTTGTTATCTAAAAGGGAGATTCGATTCCTAGCAGGAATTACCAACCCCAATTTTTCACATTCTGGCTATCGGTCCAGTACACCTAGATTTAACAAATTTGGGTCTATTCTGATTTTTGCTTTACAGACCATGACTGAATCAGAAAGAGCCGGAGTGAAGCCCTGCTTAGCTCATTATGCAACAAATGTAATATAAAATTAATTCCATTTGATAGGGATTTCATAAACTTAAACAACAGAACATAAATGGTAAGCCTTTACATAAGAAAAAGCAAGTATCTACATGTGACATCAGAAAGCGTTCAGACAAAAGCTTCAAAGAACTTTTTCTTAAGGTGCAACATACTTTTTCCGTTCTCTCTGCAACATTCCTCCAGGTGTAGAAAGTCTTGACTACATTGTGGATGTTTTCTGGAGGTGGCAACGCTCCCGACTTCAGTTGAGAAATAGCTCTTTCTAATCCTTCACACAAAGATTTTACTGAAGGTTCACATAAAATAATAAGATTTTCTGGTAGTACCTCAGGGATTCCACCAACTCTGGTACTTACGACCTGAAAAAGAACATACCATCTGCTGTAATTCATATCCCAGGAAAAAAAGACAAAACAAACTTGAAAAAAATATTGAATGCATGAGTATTTCTTAAAAACACAAATATAGATAGCCCAACAATTGAAGCCTTCAAATTGTTTTACCTGTAAGCCACAGCTGGCTGCTTCCACAATAGCCATGCAGAATGCTTCAGTGAGGGAGGTATTAAGAAAAATATGTCCTTGAACTAAAACATTTCTAACGTCCTTGTGTTCTAAGGCTCCCAAGAGACGTACCCTGATTTTTTAAATGAGAGGGAAAGAAAGAGGGGAGTAAAATGCCATGCTACAAAAGAAGTACATTTATAAGTCAAGTCAGCTATTTATATTACACTGAGATGCTAATGTTTTCAGTCTCACAAAATAGTGCCACCATACTCTGACCTTCACAGAACAGTCTTGTAAAGTTGTTTGGTTCAAAATACTTCTAGATAACCTTTTTAGAACTTCTGTACAACTGCAAACAGGACTACAAACACCGACTTTCACCAAAATGAGTTATTTTTTCATGGAAATATATTAATATGCGGGTGTGGTTAAATGTTAAAGTGTTATTTCTAAGTAGGAAAAAGCCTCTTTTGAATGAATGTTTCACGTCTTCACAGCTACCCTGGCTGACAAGAAGAGAAAGGCAGGGCTCTGCAGCAGGCAGCGTCCAGGGTTTGGTTTTCTGCACAGTATCGAAAACAGTGCAGGAGGGCTTGGAAACCCTCAGACTTTCCAATCAAAGCTATTATTTTTCTGTTCTTTCCACAGCATCTCCAATCACTGGCCCAACAGCAAACAATGTTGAACTAACAGAAAAAAGAAAAACGGGAAATTCTTTAATCCTGTTTTTCTTTTTTTTAATACACATACACACACACACACACTGCTCCTTATTACATTTTTATGTTAATTACACTTAGGAGAAACAGCACATCTAATGCAAGCATGAAGCCAAAACGAAATATAGACAGTCACATGTTCCTCCCCCAAGTCAATACAGTACCTTTCATGTAGTTGGTATCTCTCCCGTACTTCTTCCAAAATTATTCTCTTTGGTCCCTCTCCTCCAATAATGAAATTTAAGTCTGGATATTTATGACAGAGTTCAGGGATGATGCCACTGAGCAAATCAGTCCCTGAAGAGAAAATATAGTTGAATCATGAAAATGCCTTTAAAAATAAATTCAATAGAACTATGGCGAATTTATTTACTTTAAAAGGCAGGAGCTACGCTCTCCTTAAAGTAGAGACATAAACTCTCTGAAAGCTTTTCCAAGAGGGTGAAACCAGTTACCAACTGCTGTCACATCATTATGGTTCATGGAACAAAAGGGCCCACTAAGGCTGCAATTCTTAAAGATAAATACCCTGACATCCACTGCTCCTTTCACACACCCAACAAGTGTCACTCTTCCATTCAACATAGTGTTAACTTGAAGTCATTCACTTGTAATTTTCACATTGCTCATAAAACAGCTAGATGAGATCATGAATGCTAGCTAAGCGTTGCTGTAGCAGAACAGCTGAGCGCAGATCCACCACAGGTCCCAGTTTTTTCCCTAATGAGCTTAGATTGTGGGAAAGTAAGCTACAAAATGGCATGATGTGTGCACCCAAAGTCTAATGTCTCTTTTGGCAATAAAAGTCTACCTTTCTATGATTTCACTTCCTGCCAGAGGCAAAGGCTAAACAACAAAGTATAGCTGTTGCATCTAGTTTGTTTAAAATGCAGAGAATTTTGCAAGGAAAACTATAATCCTGACAGAATTGAAGGAAAGTCCACCCCAACCAATGGTAGCCCACTTCCTAGAGTTGAGTGAAAAGAAGGCAGCAGGATCTCAGCGGTCAGATCAGTTCATGGAACAAAAGGCTGCTTCTGTCTCCTTGTGAAAGAAAGGTAATTTACCCATAATATGTAAATGCAGCCTTGGTGATATAAAGCAATAAAATCAATCATGCCCCATCAGTCTGAAAAACTCAGTGGGTATCCTAAGTGACAGTGAGATCAACACTATTTGGAAATTCCTTAAAAGGTATACATTGTACACATTCAAAGGCAAATGTAAAAGAGTTAATTTTAGATATCTATTGAACTCATTCATTTTAAAAACTACATACAAATACACAAACATATAAGAACTACATTTTATACCAATCTTCCCAAACATAGGCAAATCATTCAGAAAATAAATGATAGAGGAAATTTTACATAAGTACATATAAAATCCTATTAAATAATTAAAAGTGAAATTTAATACACTCTGCTAGTATTTTAAAAATTACTATGTTTCTAGAAAATAAATCCATAGCAACTTTTCTGAATTATGAAGCCCTCTCATTTAAACACTGGATATGGTTCTTTCTAGTTTATTAGCAATATCATCAATTGGATTTTAAATAAACCAGTAGCAGTTTACTGCCTTTTAACATTTAATCTCATAACACTCCAGACTCGATGGCATCCAACAATAATATCATATATAGATAGATCTACATATACATTTTTAAAAACTGATTCCATACTCTAAGTAATATTTTTTTCTTATTGGACTAGATTTCAGACCTGAAATGCAGATGACCATGTATGATTTTAAGAAAGCACACTGAGGGAGAGAGGGAGCGGATTTGAACTGGGACACAGCCCTGGATCTTTGACCCGCGTCCTGTCCTCAGGTATCACATCAGTTCCCCCGCCCCAGATGTCTGCATGCCCTGCCAGTTTTGAATTCTGGAGCTAGGGAAAGAAGCTGCACGCAGACGCAGTGGAGAGAGGGAGTGGATTTGAACTGGGTGAGAGCTCTGGATCTTTGACCCGCATCCTGTCCTCAGGTATCACATCGGTTCCCCCGCCCCAGAAGTCTGTGCACCCCACCAGCTTTTAATTTTGTGGCCCTTGGGCCAAGACTTAAAAAAAAAAAACACCACACACCACACAAAAGAACAAAAACACATTGGCCAAATTATAGCATTTATCAACCTCACCTGAAAAAGTTGTCCAACATTGAAGATTTAGTTTCTTTAGACTACAAACTGCTGTTTGGCCTTACCACATTGGTCCTGCCAACTCAAGCAACAGGGAGGTACTGGACATCTCGATAGAGAAGTAGTTATGTCAAACCAAGAATCAACTTTCACCTTTGCTTTCAAAACCTCTTCCACATCAATGTCTCAAAAGAAGCAGGGTACCTCACTCACCATGCAAGCTCAAAACAAGGTATCTCCCCCCCCCAAATGACACAGTAGCAATGGATTTCATGAAGCGAGAAAGTCTGATGGAACTTTCTGATGCAGAATTTAAAAAAAAGATGACTGAATGTTTTCAATGGATGAAAAACAAACTTGAAGAATTACAGGACACTACAGTAAAAAATCAGGAGGAGCTTAAAAAAAAATCCAAAACAACGCAGAAAAAACAAATGAAGCATTAAAGGCACTGGAAAAAACAAGAAATCATAATCCAAAATATAAAATCTAAGGTTTCTGATGCTGTCAACATGATGGAGGGACATACGAATAGAGGTGAAGAGATGGAAAACAGAATTAGTGAAATAGAAGATAGAATTGTCACCACAGATCTGACCGAAAAAAAAAAAAAAAGCAGAAGCAAAAAATAACGAAACAGAAGAAAACTTAGAATAATGTGGGATACCATTCAAAGAAATAACATTCACATCATTGGAATCCCAGAATGGGAAGAAGCAAATAAAGGCACTGAAAAAGTTGTGGAAGAATTACTAGTGGAAAACTTTCCAGGCATAATGAAGAATGACAGAATATATATTCAAGAAGCTGAGAGAACACCATATAGAATAGACCCTAAAAAAAAAAACAAAGCCTTTCATTGTCAAATTTGCTAGAACCAAAGATAAGGAGAAAATATTAAAAGCAACGAGAGAGAAACAAAGAGTAACCTATAAGGGAGAACAGATAAGATTAAATGCTGATTTCTCAGCAGAAACCATGTGAGCAAGAAGACACTGGAATGGAATATATCAAACACTCAAGAACACAACTTTTAACCAAGAATACTGTACCCAGCAAAACTGTCCATCAGGTATGAAGGAGAGACCAAAATATTCCCAGAAATACAGAACCTAAAGGAGTTCATAAAAACAAGACCAGCCTTACAGGAAACACTGAGAGACGTTCTTCATACAGAGATGCCACAGAAACCAGGATGGACCAAAGTAACTAGCAACAACACCAAAAAGGATTGAACAAAATGACAGCAATAAAACCCTACCTCTCAATAATTACACTGAACGTGAATGGTTTAAATGCACCACTGAAGAGAAAAAAAGTAGCAGATTGGATAAAAAAACAAAATCCATCAATATGTTGCCTACAAGAGACACATCTGAAAAATGAAGATAAAGACTAAAAATTAAAGAGTAGGACAAAATATACCAAGCAAATGGCAACCAAAAAAAGCAGGAGTAGCGATACTAATCTATGATAAAATAAATTTCAAGGCAAAAACCATCACAAAGGACAAAGAAGGTCACTACATAATGCTCAAAGGGTCAAAAGAACAAGAAGATACAACAATATTGAATAGCTATGCACCAAATGAAAGACCTGCAAAATAAATAACACACACATTAACAAAGTTGAAAAAGGAGATAGATAACACTACTATAGTACTTGGAGACTTCAATACACCCCTTTCAAGAAAAGATAGAACTACCAAAAAGAATCTCAACAAAGATACTCAAGAATTAAACCACCATGATGGATTTATTGGAACCAGGAGTCAAGAGGACCTGGGATGGCTCAGCATTTCCTGTCTGAAGATAGGCAGCTTATTGCTGGAGCTGTGCTTCTTTAAGAAGATACTTTTATCAGTAGAGCACATTTTTTATTAAAGGATTATGATTTAGGATTTAATCCCTGGGAAGAAACCCAATGAAGTAGGTGACAGCAGTTTTGCCACAAAACTTTTCACGTGACAACAGTTCTGCTACAAACCAACCAATGCCTTGTTTGGTATCCCTGAAACCTGCCATATGTGATAAATAAAGACAGTGGAAATATAAAAAAAAAAAAA